AGAACCATAGCAATGCTAAGCTAGCTCTAGCCTAGGCTAGCTACTTCTTGCTATCAGAAATAAAACCGTGTGAAACTGACAAGTGCTCAGTAGAAAAGTGCAGCAGAAGGTGCTATGTTTTAAAGTAGTCAGTTAGAGTTACTTAGATACAGAGATATCACAGAGAAAATAACTTAACTTCAGATGGAGATCCTCTGAACAGCTGCACACTCAGTTAATCCAAACAGGAAGTGAACAGGTCCAAACAGGAAGCAGCAGGCTATTTTAATTATTGTGATCAATTTGCGCCGTCAATCCCGGGGGAAGCGCGCTTCATTTGCAGTCTGGACGCTGAGGCTCTGACTGCAGCTGAGAGGGACTTCTGCGGGGAAACGCGGTTGGGATGGGGGAGGCGCCCCACGGCAGAGTAGGAACGATACATGCTTTCACGTAAGAGTCTCCAAAAGCCGCCAGTGACACCGAAAAAAGTCGCCAGATTTGTCGGTAGTCGCCTTTTTGAAAAATAGTCGCTGGAGGGGTCTGAAAAGTCGCTGAGTAGGCAACACCGCACCTGCGGCGCTGACTCGCTCTGCCATATTTTTTTTTCTTCCTCTTTCAGTCAAGAGGCAGTGATGAAGGCGCGGCGGATGACGCAATAATCGCGCGACACAACTAATCGATGAGGAAATTCGTTGCCAACGCTTTTAAAAGTCGATTTTTATCGATTTTATCGATTCGTTGTTGCAGCCCTAGTTTCATTTATAAACGATGGCTTCTAATCAAATGTTTCCGTTCATTGCAGAAGTAGTAAAAATAAGAAGCAGTAGTTTTAAATACTGTAGTATCTCCATATTTTCTTACAGTATAAAACCTCAATGTGTCCTCTGTTTTGTGTGTCCAATGCTTTAAACAGAGAAAGTACAAAAGACACATTTAAGTTATTTCTACAGTAGCAGCACTACTGTTAGAAAGAGTAGCAGCTGTAACTAACAGTGTAGAATCAGCTCCATTTATAATAATTATTGTAAGTAATAGTTGTATTAGAAGTATTCGTAGCAGTAGCATTAACAGTTATTATCATATATGTTATATCTGCATCTGCTATTATGATAATAGCAGATGCAGAGGTAGAAAAGCTAATTAGACATAGAAAAGCATTTGCCATGACTTGACTGAAGAGCTTGTAAAATATTCTTTGTTAACAGTTACTGACCTCTGTAGGGAGATATGAGAGGAAAGGGATATCCATCTTCTCACACTGGATTGTAAAATCCTGGTGCAAACTGTGAGCGGAGCGTTTTGGGTGATAGATGGTGGGCTCATAATCCTGCATCACATAAGAAAAACATCAAGTTAGAGAAAGTGTTGCCTAGAGAGAAAATTATTCTGGGTTCAGCAAACGCAGACCAGATTGATTCTGGAAGATGCTTCGCTGCACGTCTGACCAGCAGCTCACTGTTTGTGAAAATACCATTGATCAGAAGCTGTGCTCCCTACAGTTTCTTGTATGAAAATTGCAGGAATAGAAGCTAAGAGGAGTAGAAATCCAGACGGATTCTGTCTGAGAGGTGTGATGCTCAGCAGGAAGCACCTGTGATCCAGGGAGTTTTCTGTCACCAACATAAATCTTAAGCAGACAGCAGTCTGAGTGGGAGTTAAATAGCATGGTTCATGTTTAAATTGATGTTTTTCGAGCCCGATCGGGGTCACTCGCCAACATCTCACTTTCACTTACCAATGAAGAGAAGAAATGCTTTAATTTCTCTGATAAGGACCTAACAGTGTGCATCTACTGAAGCTTTTAAGGTGAATAGTGCAGGCATGTGCCTAGTCTGTCCTCGAGGGCATCTGTCCTGCAGGTTTCCCTGCTTCAGCACAGCTGATTCTTTTGATTGCAGTTCAGCAAAAGCCTGTTAATCAGCTATAAATAAAAATCAGCTGTGCTGGAGCAGGAAAAGCTCTTAAACTTGAAGGACAGCGGCCCTCGAGGACCAACTTTTTGCATGTCTGTTAAAGCAATTCATAAATATCTGTTTTTAAAAGTAGGTCAGATTGTGTCTAATGCTTTTTTTTTTATCGGATCCTATGTTTGATGAGAAAGCATGTCTCAAACCCCTGATACTTAACTCAGCCCAACTCAACTTTATTTATAAAGCTCTTTAAAACAACCCCAGCTGCTACAAATTGCTGTACATAACAAGCAAATAAAAAAAATGTAAATAAAATAAAAAAAAACAAAATAGAAGATTAAATGAACAAAACAAATACAATAAAATGTATAAAACCAAATAAAAAACAATACAAGAGGTTCATGCTGTGTTAAAAGCCGAAGAATAAAAATAGGTTTTAAAATGTGTTTTAGAAATAGACAGTGAAGAGGATTGTCTAATGAGGAGGACGAGTTCCACAATTTTGGAGCAGCAACTGAAAAAGCTCCGTCTCATCTCAGCTTCCCTTTGGATGTTAGTAACTCCAGGGCCAGCAGGTCAGCTGACCTGAGGTACGGAGTGGTAGCATAGGGGTGGAGAAGCTAAGACAGGAAGGGAGGAGCTGAGCCATTTAAAGACTTAAAAATCAAATTCAAGAATCTCAAAATGAACTCTAAAATGCACAGGCAGCCAATGGAGGGAGGCCAGGATGGGAGCTATGTACTCCAGTTAAAAAGAGTACGGCTGCATTTTGCACCAACTGGAGAGTTGCGATGGAGGACTGGCTTACCTCAAAAATACGAAGGAAATATATATACACCCATCCATCCATCCATCCATCCATCCATCTTCCTCCGCTTATCCGGGGTCGGGTCGCGGGGGCAGCAGCTTAAGAAGGGAGGCCCAGACTTCCCTCTCCCCAGCCACTTCTTCTAGCTCTTCAGGTGGAACCCCAAGGTGTTCCCAGGCCAGCCGAGAAACATAGTCTCTCCAGTGTGTCCTGGGTCTTCCCCGGGGCCTCCCCCCGGTGGGACGTGCCCGGAACACCTCACCAGGGAGGCGTCCAGGAGGCATCCTAAACAGATGCCCAAGCCACCTCAACTGGCTCCTCTCGACATGGAGGAGCAGCGGCTCTACTCCGAGTCCCTCCCGGATGACCGAGCTTCTCACCCTATCTCTAAGGGACAGCCCAGCCACCCTACGGAGGAAACCCATTTCGGCCGCTTGTATCCGCGATCTCGTTCTTTCGGTCATGACCCAGAGTTCGTGACCATAGATGAGGGTAGGAACATAGATCGACCGGTAAATCGAGAGCTTCGCTTTTTAACTCAGCTCTCTCTTCACCACGACGGACCGGTACAGCGCCCGCTTCACGGCAGACGCTGCACCAATCCGCCTGTCGATCTCCCGCTCCTTTCTTCCCTCATTCGTGAACAAGATCCCAAGATACTTAAACTCCTCCACTTGGGGCAGGACACCCCCCCTGACCCGGAGAAGGCACTCTACCCTTTTCCTGCTCAAGACCATGGCCTCGGATTTGGAGGCACTGATCACCATCCCGGCCGCTTCACACTCAGCTGCGAACCGATCCAGCGAGAGCTGCAGATCACGACCTGATGAAGCCAATAGGACCACATCATCTGCAAAAAGCAGAGACGCAATCCTAAGGCCTCCAAAACGGATCCCCTCAACACCTTGGCTGCGCCTAGAAATTCTGTCCATGAAGGTAATGAACAGAATCGGTGACAAAGGGCAGCCCTGGCGGAGTCCAACTCTCACCGGAAATGAGCCCGACTTACTGCCGGCAATGCGGACCAGACTCTGACACCGGTCATACAGGGACCTGACAGCCCGTATCAAAGGGCCTGGCACCCCGTATTCCCGGAGAACCTCCCACAGGGCCCCCCGAGGGACACGGTCGAACGCCTTCTCTAAGTCCACAAAGCACATGTAGACTGGTTGGGCGAACTCCCAGGACCCTGCTGAGGGTGTAGAGCTGGTCCAGCGTTCCACGACCAGGACGGAAACCACACTGCTCTTCCTGAATCCGAGGTTCGACTATCCGACGGACCCTCCTCTCCAGCACCCCCGAATAGACCTTGCCGGGGAGGCTTAAGAGTGTGACTCCCCTGTAATTGGAGCACACCCTCCGGTCCCCCTTTTTGGACAGGGGGACCACCACCCCAGTCTGCCAATCCAGGGGGACTGCCCCAGATGTCCATGCAATGTTGAAGAGTCGTGTCAACCAACACAACCCTACAACATCCAGGACCTTGAGGAACTCCGGGCAGATCTCATCCACCCCCGGGGCCCTGCCACCGAGGAGCTTTTTAACCACCTCGGCGACCTCGCCCACAGAGATTGGAGAGCCCAGTCCAGAGTCCCCAGGCCCAGCTTCCTCAATGGAAGACATGTGGGTGGGATTGAGGAGGTCTTCGAAGTATTCCGCCCACCGACCCACAACGTTCCGAGTCGAGGTCAGCAGCACACCATCCCCACTATAAACAGTGTTGGTGCTGCACTGCTTCCCCCTCCTGAGACGCCGGATGGCGGACCAGAATCGCTTCGGAGCCGTACGGAAGTCTTTCTCCATGGCCTCTCCAAACTCCTCCCACACCCGAGTTTTTGCCTCAGCAACCATCCGAGCCGCATGCCGCTTCGCCCACCGGTACCCATCAGCTGATTCCGGAGTCCCACAGGCCAAAAAGGCCCGATAGGCCTCCTTCTTCAACCTGACAGCATCCCTCACCGGAGGTGTCCACCAACGGGTTCGAGGGTTGCCGCCACGACAGGCACCGACAACCTTGCGGCCGCAGCTCAGATAAGCTGCCTCGACAATGAAGGAACGGAACATGGTCCACTCTGACTCAATGTCCCCCACCTCCCCCGGGATGTGTTCGAAGTTCTGCCGGAGATGGGAGTTAAAGCTCCGCCTAACAGGGGACTCCGCCAGACGTTCCCAGCAGACCCTCACAACACGTTTGGGCCTGCCAGGTCTGACCGGCATCCTCCCCCACCACAGGAGCCAACTCACCACCAGGTAGTGGTCAGTGGAAAGCTAAGCACCTCTCTTCACCCGAGTGTCCAAGACATACGGCCGCAAGTCCGATGAAACGATGACAAAGTCGATCATCGAACTGCGGCCTAGGGTGTCCTGGTGCCATGTGTGCACATATGGACACCCTTATGCTTGAACATGGTGTTCGTTATGGACAATCCATGAAGAGCACAGAAGTCCAACAACAGAACACCACTCGAGTTCAGATCAGGGCGGCCATTCCTCCCAACCACGCCCCTCCAGGTCTCACTGTCATTGCCCACGTGAGCGTTGAAGTCTCCCAGCAGAACAAGGGAATCCCCAGGAGGGGCACCCTCCAGTACCCCCTCTAAGGACTCCAAGAAGGGTGGGTAATCTGAACTGTTGTTCGGCCCGTCCCCCCACCCGTAGGCAGAGGGAGGCTACCCTCTCGTTCACCGGGGTAAACCCCAACGTACAGGCACCGAGATGGGGGGCAACAAGTATGCCCACTCCTGCCCGGCGCCTCTCACCGTGGGCAACTCCAGAGTGGAAGTATGTCCAGCCCCTCTCAAGGAGACTGGTTCCAGAACCAGAACCATGCGTTGAGGTGAGACCGACTATTTCTAGCCGGAACCTCTCAGCCTCACACACTAGCTCCGGCTCTTTCCCCACCAGCGAGGTGACATTCCACGTCCCAAGAGCCAGCTTCTGCAGGCCAGGGTCCCCTCCCCCGGCCGCCACCAAACACACATTGCACCCGACCCCTATGGCCCCTCTCACGGGTGGTGGGCCCATGTAAGGGGGGACCCATGTTTCCTCTTCGGGCTGAGCCCGGCCGGGCCCCATGGGTAAAAGCCCGGCCACCAGGCGCTCGCCATCGTGTCCCCCCTCCAGGGGGGGCACGATATATATATATAAATACACACACACATATATATATATATATATATATATATATATATATATATATATATATATATATATAGACGTAAAAAAGATTCCAAAGATTAGATTTTCCTGTCTAAAAAAGCTATATATATATATCTTTTTTAGACATTATGTGACAGAGGAAAATCAAATCTTTGGATTCATATATTTACAGAATATAGAAATTACAGAATATAGAAATTTAATTTGTAGATAAGAGCACTTTATCGAGAACTTTGTCAAATTTGCTCAGTTAAAACTGGTTTACAAATGCTTGCACGATCAGAACCCTGAGGTTTTGAGTGACTGTGTAGTTCCTCTCAGAGCTGTGGGCTCAGTCACAAGAGGAGCTCACAGTAGAAACTGTCAAGTACCCAGATGCAAAACCTCCTTCGGACAATCAGCTTTCACTGTACAAGGCACCAAAGCATGGAATACATTTCCTGCAGAACTGAAGGGAGAGTCAAACTGGGTCCTTTTTAAACATAAAATTAAAGACTTTTTATTGAGAGGTCAGTCATGTGAACATTAATAATCTAGCTGACCTGATCTTGTTTCTGTGATGTTTTAGTGTGTAATTTGTTCTGTTGTTTCTTGTGTACAGTCACTGTGTTTTGTGTAAAAGCCTAACTGGGGACAGGCATTGAGAATTAGCGTTAGCTAAAATGTTGTAGTGTGTGACATGATTCATGAAACATACTTGTCCCTATAAAATAAACGAATAAAATAAAATAAATATATATATACCTATAACCAATACTCATAAACAGGTTAGCATTGTGCAAATGTTGATATTTTTTATTTCATAGCATTATTTTTATCTGCTGGTTTATGTTTATCTGTTTTACTGTTGATCGATAGGTCCGTGGATCTGGCATTTCTACGTCTGGAAATTTGGAGAAAAATGAATAACTCTGACTTTGAAATTAGAAGATAAATGAGCCAATAGCCAGAAAAAAAGGTGCAGAAAAGCAATCTTTCCAGTAAATGTTTATGTCTAAAAGGATCTAAAAGGACTAAGGGACAACCTGACAGGGATGGTAGCATCTTGTAGATTTCAGCTTTACTAAAAGTTTGTACAGCCTAAAAACTAATTTTCCTTGCAGAATCAATTAAAATTTCCACATGTAGAAATGTTTCTTTAGTTTTCAATTTTTTTGTTCGATCTACTACAAATCTAAATCCCAATTTATTAATTGAACAGTGGTTTAATCAATATATTATATGACTAATATAAACTTAGTATGTAGTGCTACAGTGAGCCAAACGCAATAACATCTGCTTCCCTTTTTATACAGTATTAACTTTGATGAAGATGTGTCGGTGCTGTATTTTACTGTATTGTGTTTAGAATACAATAGAATAGAATAGAATAGCATAGAATAGAACTGAAAATCCCTTTATTGGGGAAATTGTTTTTGCTCATATCTGGCAGTTAAGAGGTCAGACGGTGCAGCAGAAAGTCTCGGTGATGGTACACATCTAGCTAGGATGTGAACCACATTTGAAGGTTGACCTTCAGCCAGCTGCTCCTTTCTATGCTCTGTCTAATCACATGTACGGCTCTGAATCATTAGGCTGCATGTGAGTGTGCGCTGTACGCCTTGCTTGATCTGGTACTTGTGCATCATCTTGTTGACGGGGATCTCATCACACCTTAAATATATGTGCTCTTCTACACAGAGAGTGATCTGGACCATTTCTCAAGTCAGACAGCTGTAATTCCTGTTGGGCCGCTGTAGGTTTCATTTTCTTTTAGAAATCACACTAATGAAAATGTATCCACGTAGTAAATGGTAAAATAAAACTGATGAATTATACTGTGAACTGCCAAATAACTCAGGCATTTAAACCGTTTCACAGTTTTTCAGGTATAATCACATTCCTCACTCTGATTTATTGAGGTTTGATGTTATAGACACAAATTAGATCCTGATTGGGAAGTGGAAGAAAATAAGAAACGGTTTATGCAGTGAAAAAAAATCTGAAAGGTGCGTCATGCATTTGTTTTTTCAGCCGCGCTATGTCAGTACTTTAAATGTCTACATTTGGTGCAGACATGAAGGGGCCGTTCTAGCAGATGAAACATTTTGAACCAAACTTCGCTTCCATTTCAATTAATATTCCTCCTAGAAAATCATCACCATGGAGATTTCTGTAGCATTTTAGGTTCCTTCATTGAGTGCCTGTATGTAGGTCCGTCCATTGTCAAATCAACCAAACGCTGAATCTGCATTTGGCTCCCTTCCCACTTGCATAGAAAGCTGGTCTAACCCATCGCTGGCAGCAGCTGCGTGTGTTGTGATGCCATCATGCTGGGTTAGCGTTGATGATGTCACCAGTGCGACAGAAATCAAGGAAGTAAACAATGGACGGCAACATGTAAGGAAGCCAGGGTGTAGTTAGTGTGCTTTATTGTTTCGCTGTATTATTTGTATGAATCCCTCTCATCAGACCTGATCCATGTTTATCGAGTGGTTTTGGCTTGTTAGATTCAGAAGCTACTGGCACGGTGTGCTTGCGTCTGTAAGTTGTGTTCAATGGTGTCACTAAGCGGGTAAACCCAGCTCTGGTGTTCCCACAACATGCCGATCAGAGCCGAGGCGATGTTAACGCGGGCCGCTTGCTGAGTCCTTAGACAAACGTGAGTTGTTCCCACTTCCACTAAAAGCCAATACTTCCCAGGTTTAAACAGGTTTCTCAGGCACTGGGACAGGGGTATTATTGTTGTTTTCTTAGAGGAATTGTTTTCTTCTTGGCAATCTTCCATTCAGTGACAAAGTATAAATCCACGTCCTGCTCTTCAGGGTTTGTTGGAAAAAAAACTTTTATTATTTGTCTTTGCAATCATGTGTAACTTTTGTTTAGGTATAAAACAAAACTATCAATAGAATACATCTAAATATTTGGTGACAAAATGCAAAAAGATTCCGGCTGCAAGATTAAGAGCATCAATTACAAAGAGAAAAAAACATGGAGACGAAGAAGAACGTCCTGGAAGTGGATGATACCACATTTGCTCCCAAACATACATAGACTGTAAAACTGAAATATTTGGCTCTTATTTAGTTTTTTTATGTAGATTTCAAACTAAGCCAAAGACCTTGGAAACCTGAAACCAGTATTTTATGTTTCTCTTCTGATAAAGCCAAGGACTAAAACAGGATAACCACAATGTCAATCGGAAAGATCCCCTAATCATCAGCAATGTTTGGAAGTGATTAATCAGTACTCTTAAAATAAATGTGTCGACATGTCAGTCAGTGTGAGGCTTAAAATACCTCAAACATTCCACTGAGGTGGTGAGGCAGAGTTTTAACAAGAGTAACAATGGCATGATATCATCAGGACTGTCTGAGGGCGCCTCCAGAGAGGCTAATGGGAAAACAGCTCCAAGCCGTTTACAGGAGCTGAAATGAAATTCTGTAAAGCACTCAGGGATTGTATAACCATCCTTGTTAGTCAGGATGCAAGGAAAACATTCAGGTTGTTTTTCATTAGTCTGAATAACTCAGCCGACAATTTTACAGATTGTTTTAACACATGATTTCTCAGACTCAAAAGATTTATTCTGATATTCGTACTTTATATTTTACTTACAAATATTCTGAGGTGTCGGGCACAGACGAGGCCAACGGAGCCGTTTTGATCGGGACCACAGATCACCAGCACTGTAGGCTGCTTTTTGGACAGAGAACTCAGTGGATAGGCCTGAAGAGGAGAAAAAAAATGTAGATCAATAAAAGTGTGTGGGAACCAAAATAAAAAATATACACATTCATCAATATAAAAAAGCAAAACTAAGACGACTGAGTGCTTTTTAAATTATAACCTTTTGGGCATGTATTTGGAAATATGTGGAAAAGCCTGGTGGCAGCATTTTTTACCACCATTCGATGGCGCTTTAACCTTTTCATGTATGACCTGAATGAACTGCTGAACAAGAGACACCCTGGTTACTATTTATGAATGAGTGTAAAAAAAAAAAAAAGGATTTTAAAATATAAGACTGTAAAAATAAAAACAAAATAAAAAGCAGGAGACTGAGCTTTATAGCATATGAGGATGGGTGGTCAGGAATGCAAAAGATAAGCCTCTACAGGCAGCCGGAAGATCAGATATATGAATGTCTGGATGGATCCAAAGAACTGAATAGATTCTTCATTCTCACTAACACAGACATCTTATCCCCCCTTATCAAAAAGCTTCAATACTGAAAAAAATAAGAATGCAGCTGTTTTTGGCATTTACTTAATCATATTTAGTTGCTTTAACACAATTGTTTAATGTTAGCAGGGTAGGACATGAAACAATTGTGTTAAAGTAGCTAAATATGATTAAGTAAATGTCAAAATCGGTCATGGTTGACGAAATTAACACTGCTCCGGTCGAGGCCTAACCAGTTACCTGGTTGACTGACTACTTGACGCAAGGCACAGATTGGAAGACTGAAGCGACCTACTCCTGGATCTACTCCTTTCCATTTTCTTAAAATAATAATCTTGTCTTGAATATAAACAAAACAAAGGAGATGATTCTATATTTCAGTTTGTCAGCAGCCTTGTTAAAAACTCACTAAGATATCTGTACTTTATTGCCATCCTCTTGGGACAGGAACTGTGCTGATGAAGGTTATAAAATCTAAAGCCAGCGTGGAGTGCAGGTTATCTGATCTCTGCTGGGTCATGCTGCAACCAGAGAAGGCTGAAAATGGCACGAGGTACGCCGTGTCTGTGAGAGACAGTCTATTATCATTAGAATAACCGTGGCAACAGTGGAAAAAATACCGCTGCACTCTTCATAGGATGTCTCTGTATATTTAACACTCTTTCCGTCTGGACTGGTGTGGGCTGCTGCCATCTGTCTCGTTTAATGGACTTATTTTCCCTTGTAAATCAGCTAGCAGCTTCTTAAAGTAGACAGGTATTCACCTGTGGGGCTTTCTTCCTGAGTGACTAACCTTCCATCGCTTCAAATAAACCAAGGGTCCGTTTAAGTCGGACTGAGTTTGAATATATATATCTCTATTCCTTTGACTCTTTTCCATGGATTCGTGGTACCACCGGGGAAATATGTGTTGATGATATGAATGAAAATAAGGTCGTCTGTAAAGGGATTAATAGAACAAACTAAATATGCGTTCTTTGAATTTCCTTTCATTTGAAGTAAAATTATGTTATTTTCATTTTTGTTTAATCAAAAACTGTGACAAATGTTTGCATTGAAACCAGTGGTGGAAAGTAACGAAGTACATTTACTTGATTACTGTACTTAAAGGAAAAGTCCTTTTAGCAAGGAATAATTAGTGGATCATTATATATACCGAAAAATAATAAGTTCATGGTGATTTGATGAATTTAGCGTTTATCAGTAAAAAAACATTATATTAATTTTCATTGCGATCAGTGAGTCTGGGAGCGGCCATTTTTACCAAAATATAGTAACAGCTCACTCCTCACATCTTCCGGCAGTGACGTCACGGTGCGGTAAGCCTAGCGCCATTCTCCCCGCTTTACAAGCAAAATCACTGGGAACTACTAGACACATCTGCAACCAACAACAGTTATTGAAGATTTCCAGAGGACTTCACCATTGAAATTCACCAGAGCTATAGTTAATCTGCCCACATGCATGGCAGGTGGATGCTGGAATACATCGGTTAAAAGTGAACAAAAACATTATTATTTCACTATTCTGATTCATGAACCACAACGGGTTCGTCGTTGGATCGCCAACTTGAATAGGGAGGATTTGCCATCGAATTTCTGGCCAGAGAAAAAACATGTAGTATTTTGAACATTTTGAAGTATGTTTTCAACATGACTTGGATAATAGCGCGTTGTGACAAACATCAGATACAGCACTGGGACTTGCTCAACAGCTGATACCGCACCTTGACGTCACAAATCAGTAGGTGGCCGTCGTGTTTTTTGACAAACATGGATGCCTCCAGTAAAGCACATTGAAATGAAATTACTCTTAATTAAAAACATAATTTATTGAACAGTATGTAATAATTTCATATTTAAGGTACTTTCAGAAGTTTGAATATGACTGGACTTTAATTACTTTTTTAGTATCTTTACTTTTGTAGTTTTGGGGGAGGGCACTTATAACTGGAGTTGCAGCGTTTTTTGGTCCCGATACCAGGCTGTGCAGTATCGGCCGATACCGATACCATTCGGTTGAAATTAATGTGTGTGTGTATATGAAGAACTACATACTACTTGGATGTAAAATAATTGCCATCATGGCTTTGTCAATCTGCTGCCTACCTTTGTGTAGCAGGAACAAGACTAATACAAAGTGAATCCAGTAGAACTTTTTATTGCCTAACTGGAACAGGTGACATTAGTTGAATAAACTTATGGCTCTCAAAATTGTATCAGTGCCCTATTTGTCGGTACTCGCCGACACCCATACCACCATTTTAGTGCAGTATCGGGGCCCTGCCCAATACTGCTATCAGTATCGGTGCAACACTACTTATAACTTTCACTCCACAACATTTCTAGGAAGCTGTTAGTTCATTGTTTCTTTTGGCTCAGCTTAGCTTTATAATCAGCTATTGTTCTTCTTCTTTCTTGTAATACAATTTTATCATGGAAGATAGCAGCCCTTAGAACTGAATCTGGACACCATTGTTTTAGAGATTTGATAACATTCCACACATGTAAAGAACTCAGGGCAGATATTATTAGTAGTTTATACATTTTTGTTATTTGCACCCATGTGACCAAATGGTTCAGAAGGATGAGTTCTCAAAGAAGAGTTGTTGTTTGTGGTAATAGATTCAACTTTGAACTCTATTCCATAACAAAAGTGTGAGGAGAATCAAGATTCTCCTGCTTCCTTTTAGTTTGTTTTTTAACAATAGATTAAGATCAGAAGGGGGTTTAGAATCTGTAGCAGGTGGTTCTACGCATCAATACATCAGGTGGTTTCGAAAAGTTACAGGATTCTTTAAAATTTCAACAGCTAGCGGCTGGCTAGCTCAAGTGGAAAGTCACCCATCCTGCAAACAGGAAGCCTGGGTTCTTATCTCAACTGGGGGGGAACCAGCTGCCAGTGTGGGTCCCTTCACTCTAAAGGGCTGCTTATCCTTACCGCAGCAGCGTGTCGCAGTGAGCTTGTTGCAGATATTTTTGATTTATGCCCAATATTGACGTGTGGTCTTTTCTATGTTATTCCATGCCACAACGCAAGAGGGACAATCAGGAACTAGCTGTGGGCAAGGGGCAAGTTTGTGTGACGACGGAGGGACATGAGGGCGAAAAAGAGCGTGGATCCAGGTGGAAAAAGTGTCCCAGCGTTCTCGTGCACCTCACTCTTCTAGCTGGTCCAATTTCACGAGTCATTTTTTCACAATGGTGGTCACTCAAACAAACCAAGCCGGTAAGGTGCCAAACAGTGACTGCGGCACTGTCTGAGGTCACCTGCACTGTCTGCAGAAGAGGTGGAGGCAAATTTGCATTCACTGCGACACACATGCAGACGACCAGGTTTTTGTGTTTAAATCAGCATTAATGCCTGCTTAGGGAGTGGCAGCCTAGTAGTTGAGACATTACGCTTGGAATCCTGAGTTCAAGCCCCACTCCCACGGCCTGGGGTAGAGTGAAGGAGCCAGAAGAGACGGGTAGAGTGACCGAACACAGACAGGCTGTGGTCTCCATACAGAACCCGATCAAAAACGGGACTTTTTTATCTTCACCACCAAAGTTTCACCTCTTTAATGGCGTCCATAGCTGTGTTGCAGCAGACTGGAATTGAGAACAACAAAGCACATTCTGAATCCCTTCACTGTATAAAACTCATTTACCTCCACGTTCGATGTGGTTTTCCCTACGGAAGCCTGTCGGATAATTAGATGGATAACAAGACTCCGAGCGCATTAACTAGAGCGATGAATCCAGAATTAGGGGGAGCAGCTGTTATCTCCATCATAACAGCTCGGCTGAGAAATAATCTCAGAAACTAAACGAGATGACAGGGAGATCATTTTGGCTGCTGTCAGTGATGCAGGATGGATAATAGGGTTTAGATGGGTCTTTGGGGTTATGATACGATTAGAAGACAATAAAACAAAAAGGTCTGCTTCATGTAAGTGCAGAAACAAAGAGCTATGATTGATTTATTTTGTTCTTCAGTAAGATATGAGGTACTGTTTAAATATTGAATCAAACTTGGACAAAAGATCTAGTTTGGGTACTTTTTCTATCATTGTTGTGCAAGTAGGTTGACGGAATAGTGAATAAACATTCTGGCTGTCTTACTCTCAGATAAAATGAGGTAATAGCAAAAATGATCTAAAAATGATTTGAAAATGTCACTGAGGGTTTAAACACTGATATAACATTAGTGTTCATCTGTTCCTCATATGGTCATTCCAAATACCAAGTATGACCAAGAGTCATGGAACGGAATCCTCATGTCTATTCGCTGCTAGCGATTTCAAAGAGGGTAAAGTATCATTTGACTAAATGTTATTGGTTCTTGATTAAGCAAATCATTTAATAAAACATTATTTGGCCAAATAATGTTTTATTCACCTCATGGATTTGAATTGTTAATTGTTCTGAAAGCATTCCTACAGTATTTCTCTAAATTAGTTAAAAGCTAATTTGATCATATCCCAAATTCTTCCAGATAAACTTTGGTTTTCAAACTCAAAATCCATCTTAATATGTAATATGGTTTTTGAACCGTGTTCC